AATTAAAGAATAATGTGCATTCTATATAGTTGCTAGCTTGATGAAAATGAATATATGTATAGTACAAAATTAATGCTTTATTCTAGAAATGAGTTGATAGGTAGTAATATATTAGTTGGTTAATTAATAAATTAGTTGGTGGTTAAAGAAAATTAATGCCTTAATCAACCACCTACGAACAACTATATATTTATGTACTCATGTTGTACATTCGAAGTAAGAAATGAAAAACACAACAAGTTCTCCTAGCCTTAGTTTTAATAATAGCATATCAATCTCCTTTATATCTACACTTTTCTACAAACATTACAGATACCAACAGTGGTACAGAGCCTGGTTGGATCAATAGCTGGGCAAAATTATTTTCCAATATCCTCTTATTTTTACTTATCTTGTCAAAATACCCTACTTTCACATATCCTCCTACTTCTATATAGCATACTAAATCCTTAAAATGGCCACTTCTCAAAACACCTATCAACTACCAATTCCCACTTCTATAAGGCTATGGAATATTGTCGAGAACGGGTATATTATCCCCGATGAAATATCCACTTTGTCTACGACGGACGAAGAAAAATTCGACCGGGAAAAGGAAAAAGACAGTTTGTCCCTTTTCACACTGCAAATGGCCATGACGGAGTTCCTGTTTCCACGAATTAGCGGAGTACAGACATCAAAGGAGGCGTGTGATACTCTTAAGGAAGAATACCAGGGTAGTGACAAGGTACGTCATCTGAAATTACAAACTCTAAGAAGAGATTTGGAAAGAATCTGAGACCATAAAAGATTACTATACTCGATTAAGAGAAGTAGTAAATCAATTAATAGCATATGGAGAAAGTATCATTGACAAAAGGATGGTAGAAAAATTTTAATTACTCTACCAGCCAAATATGATCCTATTGTCACGACGACTGAAGAAACTAAAGATTTGGATCATTTGTCAGTGACAAAATTAATAGGTTCACTTGAAGCTATGAAAAAAGACTGAATATGCGTGAAAATGATACAGTTGAAAATGCATTTCAGTCAAAACTAAATCTACAGTCTCATAATTCTAGAATTGGGGGGAGAAGATTTGGAGAAAATAGCAAAAACAAAAATCAAGGTGAAAATAATAATAATCAACAAAAAGGAAAATATCCACCTTGTGGAGTTTGCAAAAAGACAAACCATCTTGAGAAGAACAATGCAAAAATTGTGGTAAATTCGGTCATATGGAAAAAATTGCCGCACCAAAAGATATCAAACAAATTTCTCTGAAGAAAATGAAATAGGAGAAAATTTGCTATTTTATGCAACACATGCAACTTCAGAAGAAAAAATGATATTTGGTTTCTAGATAGCGGCTGCAGCAACCATATGACTGGAGACGAGAAGAAATTTTAAAATATTGATAGATCAGCAAAATCACAAGTTCGGTTGAGCAACGGAGATCTAGTAGAAGTTGAAGGCAAAGGCTAAATTGAGGTCGAGACTCAAACAAGTTCTCGTCTCGTTGAAGATGTGCTGCTAGTACCAAAACTTGATACTAATTTACTCAGCGTGGGACAAATGGTGGAAAGAGGATACACACTACTCGCCAAAGACAACTCTTGCACCATTTATGACAACAAAAATAATCCCATTGCTGTAGTAAAAATGCAACAACGGGGAAACTTTCCGCTGCGTTGAAAGTTCATAGAAGCAGCACTAAAAGCCCAAGAAGACCAATTCTGGCTATGGCACTGAAGGTTCGGGCACTTCAACTTCAACGGGCTAAAGCTACTCCATCAGAAAAATATGATGAAAAATCTACCGGCCATCTAAATGAACGACAATCTCTGCGAAAAATGTATAGAGGGAAAACAAATAGGAAACCATTTTCTTCAAGCCAAGTAGTAAGAGCCAAACAAATACTAGAACTGGTGCATATAGACGTGTGTGGACCAATGAGGACACCAACCTTCAAGAAGAATAGGTACTTCATCCTCTTCATTGATGACTATATAAGATTGACTTGGGTGTACTTCATGAAAGAAAGGTCCAAAGTCTTCTCTATCTTCAAAAAATAAAAGCCTCGTCGAAAATCAGATTGGAAGAAGAATTAAATTACTTAAGAGTGACAGAGGAACATAATACACATCCAAAGAGTTCAACAAATTCTGCGAGGATGAAGGAGTCAACCACCAGCTAACTGTCGGCTATGCTCCAGAGCAAAACGGCATGTAAGAAAGGAAAAACAGAACCGTACAAGAGATGGCCAGGACAATGCTCGCGGAAAAGATTATGCCAAAAGAATTTTGGCAGAAGCTGTATATACTGCAGTCTATCTACTCAACAGGTGCCTACTAAAGCAGTACAAAATAAAACTCCATTAGAAACTTGGAGTGGACAAAAGCTGTCAGCACAACATTTACGAGTCTTTGGGAGTATCTGCTATGTGCATATCCCAAAAGAAAAGAGACACAAACTGGAGGAGAAATCTGAGAAAGGCATATTCCTCGGCTAATGCTCTCAATCTAAAGGATACAAAATTTCCATCCTCAAGACCAGTAAACTAATTATCAATTGAGATGTCGAGTTCGATGAAAATGTTGCATGGAACTGGGAGAAAGAAAAAGTCAAATACCAAAATATCATGGTACCTGCATCACGGAGGCAAAACACCATACCAAAAGAACATGAAGATGAAGCAAAAGATACACAATCACCTCCAGCTCCACAACCTTCGAGTCCGAGGATATCATCACCATCAAGCGACAGACAGTCATCCCCAGAATTACCATTGAGAAAAGTACGAACACTAAGGGAGATCAACGAGACATACAAATTTGCCACAATGGAACTTGAAAGCTTTGAAGCAGCAGTAAAGGAAAAAGAATGGGTAAAAGCCATGAAGGAAGAAATTAGGATGATCGAGAAGAATATAACTTGGGAGTTAGTCGATCCACCAAACAATAAGAAAGTCATTAGAGTTAAGTGTGTCTACAAGACGAAGCTTAACCCAGATGGATCAATCCAAAAAACATAAAGCACGGCTGGTCGCTAAAGGATACTCACAACTTTCAGGTTTCAACTACAACTAGACCTTCCCACCAGTTGCTCGGCTAGAAACTATAAGGGCTCTAATCGCACTTGCAGCGCAGAAGAAATGGAGAATCTACCAGCTTGATGTCAAGTCAGCATTTCTCAATGGCTACCTAGACGAGAAAATCTACACCGAACCTCAAGGGTTCGTGGCAGAATGATAACAAAATAAAGTTCTAAAACTAAATAAAGCGCTTTACGGATTGAAACAAACTCCCCGAGCCTGGTACATCCGAATTAATGACTACTTCACCATTCATATGTTCCAAAAGAAGCGGAATCGAGCCAACACTCTACATCAAGACCCAAGGTAATGACAACAAACTCATTGTCTCTCTTTCTGTAGATGATCTTATTTATGCAGAAAACAATGAATGAGGAGATGATTGAGGAGTTCAAAGAAGATATGATGAAGACCTTTGAGATGACAGACCTTGGGCAAATGAGCTATTTTCTCGGCATTGAGGTAACCCAATAAAAAATGGAATATTTATCTCACAGAAGAAATACAAAGATAATCTACTAAAAAGATTCAAGATGGACGGCTGTAAACCCGTGGCTACTGATCCCATGGTAGCGAACAAAAAAATTAGCAAAGACGACGGTACACCAAATGCAGATGCATCCACATACTGAAGCTTGATTGGAAGCTTACTATATCTAATGACCACAAGACCAGATATCATGTACGCAACAATCTACTGTCAAGGTTCATGCAAAGTTCGAGCCAAGTTCACTATGGAGCCGCGAAGAGAATACAACGATATTTGCAGGGTACTAAAGACTACGGAATCAAATACGAATATATCGAAGAGTCAAGACTGATTGGCTATACAGATAGTGACTGGGCTGGATCAACTGATGACATGAAAAGTACCTCAGGCTACACATTTTCACTTGGCTAAGGCATGTTCTCGTGGTCATCAAAAGCAAGACTGTGTGGCGCAATCATCAACATAGGCCGAGTAAGTCGCAGCAGCACTAACAACAAGTCAAGCTATTTGGCTTAAGCATATTCTTGGATACATAGATAAACACCAAGAAAGTCCAACTGAGATATACTGCGACAACAATTCAGCGATAGCAATTGCAAAAAAATCAGTACATCACAGCAGGACCAAACACATTGCTACCAAGTATCACTTTCTACGTGAAGCTACCAATAAAAAGCAAATAGTATATTGCCACAGAGGAGCAACTAGCTGATATTTTCACAAACGCTTTACCTCGACCGAGATTCTATGCAAAAAACATGGATTATCCAAATAAGCATTAAGGGGGAGTGTTAAAAAATTGGTGCTTATTCTAGAAATGAGTTAGTTTGTAGTTAGTAGATATTAGTTGGTTAATTAATAAATTAGTTGGTGGTTAAAGAAAACTAATGCCTTAATCAGCCACCTAAGAACAACTATATATATATGTACTCATGTTATATATTCGAAGTAAGAAATGAAAAGCACAACAAATTCTCCTAGTCTTAGTTTTAAAAATAGCGTATCAATCGCCGTCATATCTACACTTTTGTACAAACATTACAGATACCAACATAGTAATTATATATACCTGCAACTCCTCCTTTTCTTTATCTGTGAAGGGGCTTTTGCGTTTCACCATCTTGCTATCGCTGCTTACGACCTATATATATACACATTTTTGGAGATCAAGAAATGGTGCAAAGCATTTATTATAAAAATTAAACAAATAATTAAAAATTTTGCCGTCAAATGATCACTAACCAATTTAGACGATGAACGAAGGGCCTGAGCCACCGTCTGATTGCTGACGTTGAGCGACTTGAGTTTCTTCAGAGTCGAGACAAAATTTATAGGAACTGTTATTCGTGCACCAAAGTATTAACGAGAAATATCAAAATGTAAGAATTTATAAAAGTAAAGAATAATAAAAACAAAAAAATGAGGATCTCAGAATTCCTTTCACCATAGCCTTGAGGGTCCTTGCTCACATGCTTGACGAGAGTTTCATTTGCTAGCATGCTCATGTCGCTGAACATGTATTCGGCCTGTTCACGAATTCAAAATATTTTTGAATATATAAAACAAAAAAAATTATATTTTATTTTTAAAGATATAAACTTATTTGGCATCAGTTTATTTACTAGTGTTGTATTAATTGCTTGTGGTTAAATATAATATGTACCTGTTTGATTATCTTGCGCTTAATCTCCTCAGTAATGACAATAACACTTGGTTGTTGTTGTTGATGACTTTGGGTTGAGCCTAGTTTTTCTTGATCCGCCACGTAAATCCAGCTTCCATTGTTAGTCCCATCAATGAACGGAAAGCACGGATAAAAAAAGCTCGTTATCGGAAGCTGAGCTGGCAGCGGCAGTGTCGGCACGAACTCCGGCGCCGCCACGTTGAACTTGAACGAGCCACGCCCGCTGCCCCTCCTTCTCTCCCTATTCTTTACGTCATTTTCTCTTATATCGTAGTTGATCATTTGGGCCATCCTTTTTTTATTTTTTATTTTTTCAAATACTATTGGAATTAAAATAGGACAACTCTATCGTTTCTATTTTGGCTTTGGTTTATTAGTTAATATATGTGTGTTGATAGCATTCAAGTGTGGAGTGTGGAAACTGGAAATTAATTATCTGGCTTTTTGGTGGTGGAAAAGCATGCATGTTGTTTTCTCCTGAATTTTAGAGGTTTGAGAAGGGCCATTGATTTGAGGCATATACTCCAACATTGATGTGAGAAATTTGTGGGCATTCGTTCTTAGCCTTACAATGACCCGCCATTAGTGGACATTGACCAAATCCCATGTTTGAGAGAAATTAACCATGGTTTAGCATATCTAAGTGGACAGTCCAGCCGGTTGGACCAAAAACCGGTTAATTGATCGGTCCGATTTGCTGAAACAAGTTGGTTGCCAACGAATCAGTCAAAAATCGGCCGGATGGACTGGTTTGAACCGATCGAGTTTTTTTAAATAAATTTTAATATATTGAAGAAGTATTTTTACTATAAATAAATACATATCCCTCATATATATAATCCTCAAATGTGCTGAGCTTAAATGGCAGGCTCGCATGCTTCGGTCGTGGCAAAATTTCATGCTTAATTATTTGGATTAGGTAGATTTTAATTTACTTCCAATCCAAAATAACTGGTGAGAATCTCATGCGATGCACGGGGATTTCGTACCTTAGAATATTTTTCAAAACTTTATTTTAGCAATATAATAGTCCGCTGACCCATTTATATTAATATAAATAATATTTTAACATGTATATTTATTTTTGCTATATATTTTAATACATAAAAAATAATAATGTCAGAAATTTTGGTTCATCTAATACTCAAATATTATTTTTTCAAAAATTTATGATGTATCATGTCATTATTATTTATAACACTTATAGAAATATTAAGTATAAAACCAAATGTGTTTATAATTAAGGTAAGATAAAATGAAATAATGTATCCAAAAAATCGGCTTATGATACTTTCATTTAACTGATTCAATGAATTTGAAATTCAAATTACAAATCAACCGTAAGTTTTTCAAAGAATTTTAAAAAAAGTTATCAGTTGTAGTTGGTACATAAAAACCTCATAACCGACTGAGAACGATTTTCTCAAAGTCCTTCTCGCAAGTAGAATGATGAGTATCTGCAAATACTTTCACACCGGAGGAGTTTTTCGGCGAAGAGCTTCTGATGGTTAAATCAATATCACTCCAAACTCAAGTCTCAAGAGTATAATAGTGAAAATCATGCCCAAAACAAAAAAGCCCACCCCTATATATAGGGGTAGAATACCTGCTTCTAGAAGGTTGCCCGAATGAGCTGAGGTGGCTGCCCGGCCTACCCAATCTTAAACACACAATGAAGGTGTGTTAGAGACAGTTATGTGATAGGGACCAATCAGGTCGTGCCACACGTCCTCCGCACTTGGGGATTTGATTTCTCTGAAGTCTCCTCGAACGCTCTTGTGCTCGACTTCATCTAGCTCGATCTTCGAACAGATCCTCCATGTATCTGGGACCGACCTGTTATCCATGTGCCAGAATTCTCTATAAGTTGTCTTCCAATCCAAACGCTATTGTTCTTGTGATGTTCGACCATGACCACCCTATTTGGACTCTGTTCGACCAGAGCGGCTTATTCAGCTCGTTCAATCGGTTGAATAGACCGATTCGCTCCTTTAGGTTTACTATCATATATCATATAGCCCCCTACCCCCACTCTGGCCGAGTCTGAGTGACTCGATACAAGAGTAGATTTTTGTCCATTCGTTAGTTGTCGTCCGTTCCACCATTTATCGACCACTTACTGGTGCTTTTATGCTTTTCAACCATTTATCCTCACAACCGCCATTTTGAATTTCAAAACTCGAAGCTGCCACTTGTCAAATCCGTCAAATGCGTTCTTTAGCATGTCAGGCTACAATCATTACTCTGTGATTTGTGCCTCCTCGCGAACCGTGCGCAATAAGTGTGCCTTTGCGTTTTTCCATCGGAACCTTCAGAACTTTACTCCAATGCTTAATTTCTTCTTGTCTTTTCAACTGGCTAGCAAATCCTGATCGTTGATCTGTTTTTCATCTGACGGTGGCAACCGTTTCGCTCTCCTTCCGCATTTGCAGCTCGCACCTGTCCGCGAATCCAACGGTTCGCAATTTGGCAACTTTTCCACTTACCTTCTTCATGCCTATAAACACCTCCAACCACGACCTACTTCGGTTTTTCACTTTCGCGAAATTTCAAACATATTTGTGCTTTAACTTTCTCTTATTTTCGTGCTTTCAGTGATCAATTCCTGCGCAACTCAGATTATCTCCGTTCTTCCAGCGACTTCTCAATACCGCGGCAATGAGTAAGTTCTCTATTCCTTTAAATTTGTGTTTTCTTTTCTTAAATTTTCTAGTTTTCTATTTTTCGATTCCCTTCAAAATTCAGCCTAACTCACTGGCGAAAAACTTCCTTCTTTTCTTCGTCCTCTCCACTAAAAAATGGCCGCTTTTCAGACAAAGACATGACCTCTCATTCCTCCTCCTCGACTTCTCAACTTCCACCTCACTTTCCTAGTGACTCCACCACGAAGTTCTTAAAGATGCGCCCCTCTCCATCATTCGACCTACCTTTCTCGTCCAGACTCAGATCGCCCATCCCCTTTTTTACCAACCACAACGACTGATCGACGAGCTAGACAAGGATACACTCGACCACGTTCTTCTCACTCGTTGCTCTCGTCGACCTTTCCGTGTGATGCCACTAATGCGACTGCCGAGGAGGAGGATCTCGAGGTCCCCTAACCTAATCCTGTGGTTTTGGCTATTCTTCGCCCTTGTTTAACCAAATAACATTCTTCCAAATATACCAAAACTAACATGTCGACTAATCATCCTAATCAACACAAAACCAAAGAATCCTACTTCACTGTCGTCCGACACCCTAAATGGCTGAAACTAGAAGACATTGGACAACCCTCCAAAGGGGCGTTTATTAGCCTTGGTAACAATAATACCATCAACCAACCTCCTGAAAATTGTTATACTTTTTCCAGATACAGTTCGACCTAGCCGTCCATTTCTCTCTTTGCCCTGCACTAGTTGATATGTGCAAGCTTTCTGGTTTACCCTTAAACCAACTTTTTCCAAACTCGATCCGCTTTCTGACCACTTCATTGTTCTCTCCATGGTTCGTCTTGGTCGAGTCGACCAAGACTTTTTCCTTTTTTTTTTACATGGCCTTTACGCAGGCCGGTGGGCTCTATCTAAAGAGCCAGAATGGTGCGCATTTCCTCACCGACGTTCCTTCGAACTGTCCCAAGTGCAAATACAAGTTCATGTACATTGAACCTGCGAAACCTTTTTCTTGGGCTCCATCTCCTTGGCTCAGGAAAGTTCTTTTGGTGGTTCAAAGTCCTCCTCCCAACTCCATATTCAACCGTCGTGTTTGATTTTGGAATTCAAACCTTGTAGCCTCCATACCCTTGCTCAAGGACAACCATCTCCTCCACTATTGTGGCATACTCACTCATAAATCATATCCTCCATCCATCGAGCAAACTCTAAAGGATCTTAAAGTTGGTGATGAGTCAGGTAGCTCTTCGACCTATGTCTTTGAACTCGATATTTTTGTGTGCTAAATTTTTCTTTATTTATTTTGCAGTTAAGCCCACACTTTCGGGTTGCAAGAGGGCTGCCCCACTGAAGAAATCGACCAACGAATCGGCTACTCAACCATCCAATTTAACAACTCCTAGCCACAACCCTTCGCCTCCTTCAAAAGAACTCGAGGTCCTCTCCTCCTTGACCAAAGAGAAGTCCACCACCATTCCTTCCTCAACCAAGGAGCATGGACCTCTTTCTTCCTCAATTGAAAAACAAGGTGATTTTCTCTCTTCTCCACCAGACTCGACAAATCCAGTGGTTAAACCGCAGCCGCCTTCACCGAGCAAGAAATTTTATGATGTTGCTCGCGGGAAATGCCCCCTCCTTCAGGACGAGGACGATAATGAGAAAAACAAACATCTTCGTCTCGAAGATGACATATGGATGGTCAACGCTCCACTATCTCTGCTGTCGGCGAATGGCCGAGACATAACGTCGTTCTTCCTCGATGTTTTTCCCATCACTGATACTGGTTGATGGGGCTCGGATCCCAAGGCTTTAAGCAAAGATATCATTTACTTATTGGCGTTGGTAAGTATGTCTTTCCTATTTACTTTGCTTTCCATAGTTCCCATTTGTGTCTCTTTCTGCTAAAGTATTTTCTTTGTTCATCATACAGGGTCTTGTTGGTCTAGTAACTATGATCAACAACACTCTATCAGGATCTGGTCCAACCATACTAAGCTCGAGCAAGGATTTAAACCCTCAACGCCATCAATAAACGACTCACTCGAGCACACCACGACTTGCCGCAAGAGTTAAAAAAAGAAAACTAGCATCACGTCGACGATGAGAAGGCCCTTGAGCGCGAACTTGAGAAAGAGAGGTTTATCATAAAGAAGACATGCACCGGGTGATGATGGCCTCTGTCGGTGGAGCTCGCCAATTGCTATGGTACACCTACTTTGGCCAAAAGTTCCTGACATAATATCGAGAGCATGTGGTGGCCGATTTGTTGGAGTCTCCCTTGTTCCTTAGAGAAGTGCAGAATTTGGGGTCTTACTACTTTCAATTCTGCATGGAGAAAGACGAGTGAGCATATCACCGAGGAGGATTTCGATGGTGGCCACGATCCGATGCAGTATGGGACGCCTTACCAAAAGTTCCCAAGGACTTCAAAGGGAATCCTGATCTGTCGACCACTCATCCTTGGTGGTCGAACACGCTTGAGCGAACTCTAGTCAGGTCTTCCAAACTAAAGAAAAATTTTGACCTACCAGAGGCTCACATGTTGCTTGTCACGATTTTTGTTGCTCTGGCATAATCAACCTGCTATGGCCTCTAGCAGATCCAGCATGTGCGACGGGGGCATGTTCGGATTGCTCTTCA